CAAAGGGGCAGGGGTACTTTCTATATGAAATACGGAAAAATTTAGTAATTTTTTTTTAAAAAAAGAACAGAGTAAAAGGAAGCATCCAAACCAACACAATGGAATTTAACAGAGGAAGTAGAAATCCCTGCATCTGTCATTGTTTTTAACATCTGTATAAATATAAAACAGAGGAGATATAGATTAATTCACGATCAGGGGTTGAGCTGTAGCCCAGTAATAGAGTACTTGCCTAATGTATATGTAAGGTCTCAGAATTTGTGGTTCAAGAGGGACACTGGAAAGAACTGTCCTTTTGGGTAAAAGATTTGTCAGTGAAGTTCTTTCTCCTTTTCTTTTAAAAATGTAATATTTCATTAATTCTTTGAGAATTTCATTCAATGTATTTTGATCATATTCACTCAGCATTCCTCTCCCTAACTCCTTCCAGATTCACCCTCTTCCTACCCTCTCTCAACTTTGTGTACTTTTTTTTTTCCAATAATACGCCAAATCCAGTTTGTGCTGTTTCTACACTCATGGGTGTGGGACCATTCACTAGAGCATGGTGGACCTCCCAGGGACTACATCCTTAAAGAAAACTGACCCTCCCTATCCCAGAAGCTGATGTAGGTGAGCCTGGCTGAGAAGCCCATAGCCAAAACCTAACAGTGCAAGGCAGTAGATTGGAGCCAGAGCAACACACACACACACACACACACACACACACACACACACAGAGAGAGAGAGAGAGACACAGAGAGACAGAGAGAGACACACACAGAGACACACAGAGAGACACAGAGAGAGAGGCAGAGACAGAGAGGGAGAGACAGAGACAGAAACAGAAACAGAAACAGAGAAACATAATTTATGTTCAAGAGGTTTGGGAATCTTAGACTCCAAATTAATATCTCTGTGGGATATAGCTGCCAAAATAGCTAATGAAGTCTTAGACACATTAGTAAAAGCATAGTGTTCAAGCTAAAAGGAGCCTAGGACTACTGGACTTTGGCAGTCAGAGATCATGTGTAGTATTCTGTTCAGGTGCATTCATATCCAGGTAAGGATAAATAAGATAAAACACTACATTGGGGATGGGAAGGTAACCCAGATGGTAGAGTGCCTGCCAAGTGCTCCTGAAGCCATGGGTTTGATCTCCAGCAAAGCATAAATGATAATCCTACACTTAGGAGGAGGTAGACACAGGCAAATCAGAAATGCAAGGTCATCCTTGGCTACATAGTGAGTTCAAAATCAGCCTGAGATATATGGGACTCAAGAAGCAACAAAACTGCAAAAGCCATGTCATGTGAGCTTAAAGGACTTGGAGCCTGTAGTTTGAATAGTAAAAGACTGCTCAACTTTAGTGACTAAACAATGAAACAGCATTTATTCTTGATATCATTTTATAGTATAGAACTAAGATAAAATTAATTAGATGAATTCAAAATTTTATCTAACATAAGAGGTAGAAAATGGGCATTGGTTGAATATCTGGTACATGCCTCTTGTGGAACTAGGTGCTTGATTTCATTATTATTCTTAGAGAGACTAAGGGTTGGGACATTGAATTTCCAGGTACTGGTAGCCAAGTCTGCAGTTCAGCAGTTTGTTTATTGCATGGATGTGCGTGTGTATGTGGTGTGCATGCGTGTACGTGTATTCCCATGGTGTGAGTTCACATGCATGTGTGAGCATCTGTGTGTGGAAGTGTGATGCTGACTTTCGATGTCTTCCCTGATAACTCTCCATCTTATTCACGGAGGCAAAGTCTCTCTCCCTCAACTCAAGGCTTGAGGATATAGGCTAATCTCACTAGCCAACTTGCTCCAGGGATTCCCTGTGAATTCATTTCCTTTCTGTTGCTGTGATAAATATCCTAACAAAAACAAATTAAGGGAGAAAATGTTTATTTTGGCTTACAGTTCCAGAGGGATAAGTTCACCACAGTGGAGAAGATATGACACAGACAAGGAAAGCACTGTGGCAGGAGCTGGAAGCTGGTTGACATCATTGCATCCACACTCAGGAAGCAGAGAACAGTAGTGGGGCCAGGCTATAAAACCTCCAAGCCCAGTCTGAGTGACCTACTTCCTCCAGCAAGTCTCCATTCCTAAAGCTTCCATAGCCTTCCCAAACAGCACTGCCACCTGTTCAAATACATGAGTGTTTGGGGGACATGCCATACTCAAATCACAACACCCTCTTTGGCCTTCTGAGCCCTGGAATTATAGGCAAGCTGTCATACCCACCTGGCATTTATATGGGTTCTAGGGATCTAAACTCTGGTCCTCATGCTTAAGCTACAAGTGCTTTGTCCACTGAGCCAGCTCACCACCCCACTGTTGTTCATTTAAAGCAGCATATTCCCTTTTTTCTTACACTACTCGGGCATGCTGACCAGGCTCTTCTGGAATCAGCTTTTTCTTGGAGACATACTTCCTGGGGCATCAAAGGCCTCTCTGCATTTGCAACATGGATTTCCAGCACAGTTCCAAGGTTCCAAATTCCTACTGGATGGTAAGAAAAGTTTACCTAATCCATATTTTCCCAAGTCACTATTTTGTGGGCAGTCTTGAATGTTGGGCTGGAGGGATATGATATTTCTGTGGGAAGGGCTAGGTGTAGAAAGGAGCCTAGGAGACCTTGAGTTTTTGAGGATTATGTGATAAGGATGCGGATGGTTCAGGGGTACTCTGAATACATTTCTTGGCCTGCTGTAGCCATTCTTTTTACTTGTACTGTCAGTGCCCCTGTAACCTTAGAGTCCCATGTGCTAAAGCTCAGCCTAGCAACTCTGACCAGTAAAAGGTATATCAGCAGGACCCTGGACCAGAAAGGACTAGAATTCAGGATTCTCATGAAAAGATTTATTTTAATGAGGTGTGGACAGGAAATCCTCAAAGGATCCTCCCAGTCATGTGTCTGTTGAATCCTTCTCTGTGAGCTGCTCCCCTTGGCATTTATATAGCTCCATCACCTCTTTCAGGACTTAAAAAAAAAAATCACCTTGTCAGTGAAGGCTACAACTACTCTTTCTCAGCCCTCCTTCCCACCCCCTAATTTGGATATAATACAAATCATCTGATACCTGTGTATCCAGTTGTGTCTTCTTCTACCAGCTAGAATTTGGCCAGAGTTTGGTCCATTTTGTTCATGTCTATAATTCCAATATCTAGAAAGATGCTAGCCCAAGAAAGATACTTAACAAATGTTTGTTGAGTAATGAATGAAGACTAATTTTAACTATTAGAACACACAGAGAATTTCCCAGGAGTGTCACATCTAATTTGCCTTTTCTACATCAACACCTTAGTCCTTTGGATAAAGAAGGCAGCTGAAATGCGAAGAGCTTTCATTTGGCCACAAGAGGGAGATGTTGATCAGGTTTTTATATTGCAGGCAGCATGTTCTGAGACCATACTTTCAAGACTCCAGAAAGAAAACCCGAGACGGGACCATGACTGTAGCCAAGGCAGACATGCAGCATGTTACCTGTATTCTATGTTGTCCAGTGAAACTCAGAAACTGTTTCAAGAATGGCCCCTAAAATGGCAGCTTCTGTAACCATGGTGATGCCACCTGCTGGACAGATGACATAATGTCTTTTTGTCATGTCTCATCCCCCTTGCTTCTGTACTACCAGCACCTTGCCAGGTCTCCTGAAACTGTGTGCTCTTATAATAGGATCCTAGCCTCATGGAAGCATTCCTCCTTTACTAAGTCCTACTTTGTACTGTGCTAAGGATCTACATGGGATGACTTCATAAACAAAGAAGACAGCTGTCTCAAGGTCAAGGCACATGGTAATGACACCAGAAGGTAGAAGAGGACAGAGATGTCTGTAAATCCAGAAAATTGCTAGCAGCATTTGGAATGCAAGATATGCTGTCTCCAGTCAGAAGGAAATGGAGGGTAGGGCCTTATGAAAATGACAACATTTGAATTAGAAGTTGAATGATAGTCATACATGTTTACTTGGTCATATCTAAAGGTACAAGTTTCATTTGGTTATATCTAAAACCACTTTCTGAGCTTTACACTTTCATTGGTACTTGAATTTTACTTAAGTTCTTATTTGGGGGAGGTGCTAGAAGGATTTTCTATTTATATTTGTGTGTGTGTGTGTGTGTGTGTGTGATATTTTACCAAGTATTAAAACACTTTTATTTGTTTTTTGCAATTTTCATAAAATAATGTGATGGTGTTTAGCTTTCCCTATCTGCACCTTCCCTTACTGCCCCTGCTTAATTTAATGTACTCTATTATATAAAATAAGGTCTATAGAGTCTAATTTGTGTACCCAAATTTTCATCAGCATGTGGGTCCATCCACTGGATCCTGGTAAAGCTACTAAGAATCACATTCTTAAAAAAGACTGTGTCTGCCCCTCCCAGCAGCCATCAGTCGCCAATAGGTTCTTAGGTAGGGTTGGAGTTTTTTAACCACTTCCCCACATCTATGTAGGAATTTTGTCTTCTCTAAGCTTACATGGGACTTCTGCATGCTGTCACCATTGCTCTGAGTTCATATGAGTAACTGACTAGCTGTCTGGAAAACTCTATTTCCTTGTGATCATCCACCACCTCCAGTTCTTACAATCTTTCCACCACACCCCTCTTCTGCAATGGTCCCTAGGCTTTTGAGGCAGAAATATAGTGCCATATTCAGGGACAAGCACTCTGTAGCCTCTTGTTCTCTGCACATTAACCAGTTGTCGGTTTCAGTGTTAATCATCATTTGCTGAGTAACGAAGCTTCTCTGGTGAAAGTTGAGAGATGCATTAATCTCACTCAGGATGATTGTTTCTAGTTCTATTCATTTACCTGTGGACTCTGGTCAAATGTATTATTTGAAAGAGAGACACTATAGGGGAGAATTAAATATAAAGATCAGATGTCACATAGAAACTCTGACTCAAAGGCTTCCAGTTCCTTTCTGGCCCACATCACGAATATGGGATCATAGCCATGGCTATGGCTATGGGTGCAGTGTGAGGCCTGGCAGGTCACCCCAAGCTAGTGTGGTAGAACATCATCCATCTCTAGAGTGAGGAAGGGAAATACTATGTCTGTTAGCCACTTCAAGTTGCTCCTGCTCATCAGCATGGGCAGGGTGTCCACCAGAAGGTGTGGGTTTATGTACTGCGAGTGGAAGAACATGTAACCCAGTAGCCAAATGAAGATCATGATCAGGGAGAAAGGATACTGGAAGTGCCTGCAAAGAGATATTCATCATTAATACATTGGAACAGCTGAGTCTCAAGTAGTGGGGTATGAACTTAAGAATGGCTGCCAAATTGCTTTCTTTAGGAAAAACTGGCAGGGAGAGTAGAGCTTGGGGAGAAGGCATATGCCAGGAAAAAACAGAAAAGTGATTTAGTGATCAGGCTTTGAAGACCACCCTCTGACATTTAAGTCTATTAACAGAATAGATGACATTATAGGAAAGTTGCATTTACAATAAAAAATGACTTTTTGGGTACTGTATATGGGGCAGGCCTCTTGGGGGTTAACAGAAAAAGTTCCAAGACTGCCACATTGTGAGTCTCATGATCAGTGGCCCTCTTCATGTCTTCCACAAGTGATTCTTCAATTAAGATTTAACCATTTCATATTAACATCTATGCACAGTGATGAAGACTGGTTTGTTCTAAGCATCAAGTGTCAAAAAATGGCAAATCAAATAATAAAGTAGCTAATTTCTTGTATGTATCCAATAAAATTCTACCCTGGCAATTGGTCTTTGAGTTGTCAAAAATTTCAACTTTTCATGAAAGTACCACAGAAAGTACTTCATGGTCAATCTCATTATTTCAAAAATTGAAAAAAGAAAAAAGAAAAAAAAAACAGAGAAATCAAGTGATTTTTTTGCCCTAAAAGTTTTTCTCAGCCTACAGTAAAAGAACAAAGAAAGTTAACGCACCCTGCACTCTCTTTCCAAGAGTATAGCAGAGGTGCAGCATGCAGGAAATGGAAAATAGAAAGGGAACATATGAAGCAAAATGTAACCTACAGCCTCCATCCTGAGCGCCCCAGAAGTAGCCACTAATTCCTTAAGGTGTTTAGAACCAGGTAACTGATGATACAACTGTGTAAAGAAAGGGAGGGTTTGGAGCACTCTGAGGTGGCCCAACATGCCTGTTTGACAGATGTGCTTACACTCATTCCTTTGGCACATATCAGGTTATCTGCATGAGAACATGGCATGGACTAACTGGGATAAGAGCATGATTCTGTCACTTACCTGAACCAAAACATCCTTTTTTGTTTCTTAATGATTTTCTTCTCCTGTGGAAAACAACATAAAAGTTATGTGTGATCAAATGCTCACGGAAAGGTGGTTTGGGAGGATGCCTAAGCAGAGAGCTTGTCCTCAGGCCACCCAGGTTTGTATCATGGCTCTGCTTTTTACTAGATGCCATGATGTGGTGCTAGGCAACTGAATCTCACTTCCTAACTCTAGGGTTATTACAAAGAAGAGGGAGAGAGACACCCTGGGAAAGAGGAGGGCTGGAGAAAAACTCAAGTGTGGACAGGAGAGACTTACCATGTTACTTTGAATGGTGTCCACCAAAGTTGTTCCGGGTTTTACTACTTGGGAAGAGTTATTCTGGGCTTTGGATCTGGATCAAAAAGATCAGAGCCAAGAATCATGCAACACAATCCAAGGGCTGATATAAGGTACCTTTCTAAGTCCTGTAACATCTGTGATTTGAAATTCATAATTCAACATACAAAGATCTTGGCAAATATGATTGGTTCTTTTTTCAGTTATTAATTTTTAAACAGCATACGAATGAGTTTCATTATGGCCTTTTCATGCATATGCATTCTTATACATTGCTTTAATTCATTCCCTGCCCCCAATTGTCCTCCTCATATGTGGTCTTGCCTCTCCTCCAGTTGGTTTCCTTCTTCCAGGCAAAAGTGATTCACTGCCAACTTGTTTTTTTATATCCTAATTTTACAGCATTTTCGGTAAAGTTTTCTGGACATCACTCTGTCCTATTCTGCTTCAAGATGATTGGTCAATTTAATGTTTAACTTAATGGGTACCGAATTCAAATAAAATATTTAAGCACTGAAAAAAAAATGTCCTCTACTTCTGCTTCTATATCACATGTATTTCATTCTTAAGAGAATGGCAATGTCCAGAAACTTTGCCTAAACCTCTGACTAACTCTCAAACTGTGACTGCTCATGGCAGTCCATCAGCATCCCTGCTGGGGTTTTAAGACCTGATATGGCATGTGTACTGCCACCAGAGACAGACTGTATGGGTGGACTTAACATTAGATTACATCACGTAGAGACTTTGAAATCCTTCAATCTGGCTCTCTACTTTCCAGCTATCCTAAATTCTGTCCTCTGCTTCTTAGAACAAAAAGACTGCAGGTTTTCTCTCAATGTTTTAACAGCTCCATACACACAACAGGTTTGAGCTGACCTCAGGCTAGAAGGTATAAAAATTGGGGAAATAACTTCCTGCCATTCTCTTCTCTCAATTGTCAACCGATATCATCTGCCTGCTTTTAATCACTCTCCAATGCCTTCTGGTCACTTTAGCTCATTTGTATATTTAGAACTATTTTCCGTTACAGAATTGAGTCTAGTAAAAGTTTATCCAGCATTTCATAGGAATTTCCTTTTATGATCATCAATAAAGAGGTAAAGAGAAAAGTGACACAGGCTCTGGGTTCTTGCCACAATGAAGTAGCTTGTGTCAGACGAGCCCATTTCCAAAAGTAACTATAAAACTTGACAAAGCACACAACTGTTTGAATGTACTGGAGACAGCAGTCAGAAGTCCAAGTGATCCAAGCTTCCAAGTGAAGCGAAGTAGACTGAGATGATTCCCCCTTCACACCAGGCTTCCCCTCAAGGACTGTGCCAACTTGTGGTACAAGGGGATAGAGTCCAAGCAGAAAGTAGCAGCATCAACTGGCTGAGGGGACAGAATCTGGAGTTTAAGACTGTCAAAGCAACTACGGCTTGCGGGGAAAGATTCAAAGGAGGAGGTTACAACAGAGAAGTGAGTTCAAAATCTATATGGAATTCTCTCTCAATGTGAGAATCTTAGCTATGTCCAGGATTTCCAAACTCCAGAAGGCAGAAAGATCCTAGAGTGGAGCAAAGATTGGAGTAGTAATGCAGTGTTAAGGAGAAAAAGGCTGAGTTTAAGGCCCATCTCTTGAGAAGAGTATTGGTACATTTGCAAGGGAAAAACACTATGCTTTCAATAGATACCACAAAAGTATTTAACATAGTATCTGCTACGATAAAAAAAACACCCAGGAAACTCAAAAATGGAACAAAATATCTTAAATTGGTACAACGTCTGCAGGAGAGCCACACACTATATATTTATTGGTAGCATCAAGAATTTAACCTTAAGTTCAGTAAAGTTATATCCCTCTAGCCTATATTATAAAGTCAGAGACACTGCATTAAAATGAGAAAAAAATCAATATAAAGTATGAAGATTGAAAAGGAAAAAAAATCTCTCATTGTTCATATATAAGAATCTAAAAGAACCTATGGATTAATAGAATAAGTGATGTTAACAATACTCATGGATACGATATGGTAAGTAGATGTCAATGTATTTCTATATAATAGCAATAACCAATGATAAAATCAAATTAACAAATATAACATTTACAATGGCAACAAAAATATCAGTATGATTAAAAATGCATAAAAACACTATATAGGAAATGATAATACACTGTTAGACAAGTCAAAGAAGATCTAAACAAATGGATGGATAAGGTTCAGTTTATGGTTTGAATAACTGCTGATTAGACATTAATTATCCTCCAAATTTTATTTACAGATTCCAGATAATTAAAATAAAAGTTTCAGCAAGGTTTCCTTGGTATAAGTTTAAAATTTGATTTTAAAATATGTATTGAAATTCAAGGGCCCCAAAATAGCCAAGATGTTCTTGAATAAGAACAAAACACTTGTAGAATGTATATTACCATGTCTCAAGACTACAAAGCTGGAATAAATAAAACACCAATATTGTTCAAAGGGCAGAGACAGATAATTGTACAGAATTAAGTATGTCAAACAAGACTCACATGTACAAGTTCACTTGATTTATAGAAACAAGGCACCAATGGAAATGCATGGTCTCTTAAAACGTGTGTAGGGCTGGTGGGATACAGGAAGAATAAATTTCAGGTGAATATAAACACAAATATAAAAGATAACAGAATACACAAAAATATGGGGATATCATAGAAGTATTGTTCTATGACCCAAGGAAAGCAATATGCAAATAAAAACAAGTTGATAAATTTGACGGCTTTGATTTCTTTCAAATGACCAATTATTGTCCATTGAAAATGTCATTAGGGGGTCTAGGGAAATGACTCAGTGGGTAAAGTACTTGCCTGTACAAGTATGAGGACCTGAGTTCAGATCCCCAGTATGTGCATTAAAAAGCCACATTTGGTAATGCACTGGGGGCAGTGACAAGCGGATATTGGGGATTTGCTAGCCAGCCAGTCTAGCTGAAACAGTGAGACCCAGGTTCGGTGAGAGACTCTCTTAAAAACCTTAAGAGAAAAAACAGAGGGAGACATCCTGATGTCAGTCTCTGGCCTCCACACATTGTACCTGCATGGGGAAGTACACCTGTACACACATGTACACACACATAAAAGTAGAAACAAACACACACACACACACACACACACACACACACACACACACACATAGTGCCATTAAAAATTTTAAAAGAGCACTGGAAATAGGTTCAGTGATAGAGTACTTGCCTAGCATTTGTGAGGCCCTGGGTTCAGTTCCTAGTACCACAGAGAGAAAAAAATAAAGACCAAAAAAGGGAAGTCATAGGATAGAGTGAAATAGATGTACTTAACAAAGAACTTTAAGAAACTCTTATACATAGGTAATGAAAAGACTTGGAGTGGTGGCGCATGCCTTTAATCCCACTAGGCAGGCAGAGGCAGATGTAGCTCTCTGAGATTAAAGTCAGCCTGGTCTACATAGTGAGTTCCAAGCCAGCTGGGGCTACAAGGAGAACTTGCCTCAAAAACACTTAAAAAATAGTAATAAAAAGACTGACAATTCCCAAATGGAGTAAAAAGGTATCCTGTGTAAGAGCATATTCAAATTTCCAGTAAGCATTTTGAAAGCTGTATATCTTTGATAATCATTAATGAGCTGCATTGTTAAAATCAAAATTATATATCATGATGTTTCTTCAGGTGACTAAAATTAAATTGTAAATACCAAATGAAAATGAGGAAATAGTGTGACCAGAATTACTTAAATCATATTGATTGATTGATTGATTGATTGATTGACTGAATGATTTGTGTGCATGTGTGCATGCCATGAAATGCATGTTGAGGTCAGAGGACAACCTGCAGGAGTCGGTTCTCTTCTTCCACCGTGTGGGTCCCTGGAATCAAATTCAGGTCATTGGGCATGGCAGCAAGCTGCTTTTACCCACTGGATCATCTTACCAACCCAGAATTCTTGTATAGTTCTTGTGGCATGGGATATTGGTACAGTCACTGTGGAAAACGTTTCATGTAGTAAACCAAAGATATGTGTAGCCAATGGTGCTGCAAAAATGAGAGTATGTATCTATCAAAAGGCATGCACAAGAATTTTTGTAGCAGCTTTAAAACCCGACTTGAAATAGTCAAAGTGCTCATCAATGATACTTATACAGTGGAATATAGGCCACAGAAAGCACAAGGCACGTGCTGCAGTATAGATGATCCTCAGAGAAAGCCAGACACAAAGGAGATGATAGACTGAATTTATAAATGCTTGAGAACAGATTTTTTAAATTACCAAAGACTAGGGTTACCTTTGTAAGGAGTGCTGACAGGGTTAGGGAGTCCAAGGAGACTCCTGGGACTCAAAGTATTCTCTATGTGGGTCTGAGTGGTATGAACATGCATACACATAGAAAAAGTTCACAGCCATATATTTAAATATGTGCATGCTATGCATATTATGTAAAGCATGACACAATTAGGAAGCAGAAAAAAACAAAGTGTGGTAAATCCTGAGGAATTCAAGCCTACATGGACATGACAGAACATCTGATCAGTCTAGTGGGTCAACAGTGTCCTAGCAAAGAGGGAGTCACACACAGTTGACAGCCATTTCTGTGTCTGGCCTGTGGGCCTTCTTCCTCTCTGAATATAGGTTTAGTCATTTTGGGGAAACTGTACTCAACTCAGGATGTATGAAAGAACATTATTAAAGAGGCATTTCAAAAAAGACAAAAATAAATAAATAAATAAATAAATAAAGGCATTTCAAGGACCAGTTACTGGGGCAGGCAAGAGACAAGTCTGAATGATTCTGAGTTTTCAGTCTGGAGCATGAGAGAAGGCAGCCAGGGATGAACCACTGGAGGTCATTTACACAGTAATACTGACAGTCCCAAGAAGTATTCTTCCCTACAGGGACTACCCAGGATGGTCACTGTAGTCCATCAGGGAGGTCATTTTTTTCAAACTTACATTTCTTTTTCAAATAGTAACACTTCTTTCTCCTTTTCCATCTTCCTAAGAATTTCTTGGTATTTCTTCCCATGGTCACGGGGAGTGGGGTGGGGGAGGAAAAATATCATAAGCAAGAAATTTTGTATTTTAATTTCAAAGTCTTTGATAGGAATAGTCTGCTAAGACTAATTTTTAATATTCTGAATGCTTCACACAAGAGGGTGGTTGCACAAAATAGGGAGGCGCTTGGCAGGATAGATAATACATGAACAAAAATTCTCCCTCTGGAAACTGCTTGCATTCAAATCACAGGTTTTACCTGTACTAGCTGAGTTCCCCGGAGCTCCTTGAAGCTTCAGTGTCCTCATAACAGAATCAGCCCCATTGACTCACTAGACAAATGGATTGAGAAAACACTATACCATAAGGGCCCAGCACAGTGTGTGGAGCAGTCATATGCTTTGTGGTTTCTGTGTTGAATAAAAGGCATTTTCCCTAAGGCAAGTGCTACCCTAATGAGAAATCAACCAACTTGGAGAGGTTATATCTCTACTCTGACTTTCCTCAGTCACATTATACCTTTATGTAGTGGGCTTGGTCTTCACAGAGTTCATACACAAATTGGTAGTCACTATTTATCTAGAAAGAAAATGAACAAACTTCATGAGTTCAATCAGAACCAAGTCTTGGATGCTTCTCTGGGAACCTGTCTAGCACACTGGACATTTGGCCAGTTACCTAGCAACTTCTTAGTTAAAGGGAAACAACCACCTCACAAAGAGGTGACCTCATCATTCAGGCATAGGACCTAATTTTGAGCAAAGGGAAATGTTCTTGTTCCCCTCTCACATGCCTGAAAAATTCCTTTCTGAAATCTCTTGGGTTTCCCTCCTGTTCATATTCTGGGTAGAACCTTAGTAGAAAAAAAGCCCACTGCTCTACCTTGGCCAATCCCTTCTCTTGCTGCATACAGGACTCTGTTGTCTTTTGTAGTTTCACCTAGAGATGACCGTAACACCAGAAAGTTAACAACATTCTTTGGTGCAAGGCAAATCCCGGTCAGCAGGAATTAGGACCCAAATAGCTACTATGTGTTGAATAGCAATAGTAATCAAGGGAGGATATATGATCATTACTCTCATTTTAAAGATGGGGAAACAAAGGCAGAGAGGAGTTGTGCACATAACTTGGACAAGTCTCAGAGTGGCAGAGCTGACATTTAAGCCTTAGAAGACTGACTCTAGTGAACCCAGTCACCCTCCTTTCTCCTGTTGACCAAAACTCACCAGTCCTTTTCCTCACCTTATTTACTAGTACATGACATACTCTCTGAATCACACAAGGGAAAAAGGAGACATTTCACTCTTTTTCAGAGAAAAGCATAGAACAATGGGATTCTTGATGGTGGGGCTCAGCTAAATACCCTATTTGCACCCTAATTCCACAAAGAGCTCCCCAGTGGAGTTTTTGCTCCAGATTTGGAGTCCATTTCACTTGCTCATTCAACAAATATTTATTGACCATCTTCTATGTGCTAGTCTGTTCTAGACACCGGAGTGCAAACCACAAAGTTTCACAAATTAATGCTCAAAATTGGTTTGCCTTCTAGTAGAGGAAAAATATAATAAAATTCAAAAATAAATCTTATTCTGTCCATGAGCCATAGTGTGGAGAATCTAAGATCACTGAGATAGCCTTATGTAGTTGTAGAAATCAGTATTTTCTTTCTTGAATATCTATTTGTGTGTTCTCTTTAGAAATAAATTCTTGGAAAGACTCTAGTGAGCATTCAGAATGTGTTTTATCAACTGATGAGGCTCTGGAACAATTCCCTCCACCTGGTGGCACTGAGTGAAGGCATGTTTGCTTCTTATGTGAATGGTAATGTTAGGACGCCCCATGGAATTAAGCAGAGGTAACAAGGACATTGGATCGCCTCTGAGGCACAAATGGACATATATAACATCACACCTAGGAACATGTGTAAAAAGTTTCTCCCACTGGCACATCTCTCATAAAATCTCTTGTTTACTCTACTCACCTCAGTTCAGCCAAAATCTGCTCTAGGGCTTCTTGGTCAGGGCCAGTGTTCTTAAATTCTCTTGAAATCTGAAACACCATGCCAGTAACTGTGAACTTAGCAAGGCAAACACACTGAAGATAGGATAAGGGTAGACTTAAGGTCTTAGCCTGCAGAACAATGGTAGTTACTAAATTCGGGTACTGAATTGCATTATTGAATGGAAATGTGGTTCTTTGTTCCTGTGGAAGCTGCCTAACCTGATGCCTTTTCTTAAGTTGTATTTGTATTTTTATTTTTAGCTCTGTGTGTGTGTGTGTGTGTGTGTGTGTGTGTGTGTGTGTGTGTAGCTATGAGGAGGGAGAATAGGCAGAGTTGTAGAGGAAGGAGTGGGGAATCTCTGCTCACGTTGCAGATTTTCAGCCCTCTCACTACAATCTGTCATGACCAGAGGACAAATGCTGCCCTTAAAGTCTATGTGAAGACTCTGAAGGTAATGGGGATGATGGAGCACAAAGATTATGCTGGTTGCCCTTCTTTGTTTTTCTTACTAGAGAGTTTAGGAAGACCACAGCTCTATTAGGATTCTTTAGATATTAGTCGTAGCTCAAGGATGGACCTTGAATGTGTAAAAAATTTCTTCTTTTGTGTGTATGTAGTATATAATGTATATCATATAATGTGATTACCTATAATTTATAAAGATGTGCTATCTGTCTGTATGTATTTTATTTGTACTGAATATGCCCAGGACTCATCTCTTACATCCCCTGCCCACACAGCCAGTCTTTCTCATCTAAAGGTCAGTTCTAGGGAATGGGAGAACCTTATGACCTGGGCCTCCCTTATCTTCTCCTGAAGTTCCATCACATTCTTGCTTAGGATCTTCTTCTTTTTCTCCTGTAGGAAGAATGAAACAAAGGAGACAAATGTCTCTGCTCTTCACCTTTTCCCTCACCACAGAAATATGTGGGGATGAGTATGTCACTTAGGAAAAGTATACCCTGGTCCCACACAAGGCATGTGGGACAGAGCCCAGGCTCAGCCCTGGTGCTTCAGTCCAGAATACTCTCCTAAATAGCTGTAATTTCTGCAATTGCAGAGGCATCGAGTATGTGAAGATCCACCCCTCCCCGGGGAAAGAACAGAAGTTGCTTATAGAAGGCATCCTGGAGGGCCCTTTTCAGAAAGCTGTTCACCAACTTTGCTGTCTCTAGCTCCAGATTCCTCAGAGCCTCCTCCTTCTCAGTTACGACCTCACTGAAGTCATCCCTCTCTGGTACTCTTCCTACTGACAGGGCATTCTCTCTTTCAAGGCTGAAAAACATAAAGTCTGTCAGAAGTTTGGGTTGCATGGACAATGGGCGGGGCTGGCCTTTTCCCTAAACCAGGCCATTGTGCTAGGTGACAGGAAAACCGTATCATGACAATCTGATGAGTTACAAGAAAATGAAACTAAAGTTTCTTCTTTAAGAAGCCTTCTTAGGCTTGAGATCACATCCTGCACAACTGTGGTCCTTCTTCCTGGATTGCTGGAGATTTCTAGTGCATTCTCTCGAACTCTTAATTATTCTGATTACTTACCCACCATCCAATGGGTTCTGACCCACGTCTTCCATTGTTGGCTTCCTAGATGTGTATACAAACATTTGTTATGGAAGTGAAAGCCCTGCCTTCCATCCCTGTGAGTGCCAGGGAAGGAGCTGGCCAAATTTACACTGTCTCCACTGCAGAGTGGAGAAGAACACTCTTCAAACACGCTTCTGCATATTCTCATTTTACAGAACCAATCTCAACATTTTATACAAACTAAAGTTTACTAAACTAGATCATACTTAATTAAAAAAACTCAGACTCAATCACACTGGAGTATATAAATCTTAAAACGTCTGCTTTTTGATGCTCTTTACATCCTTGCCTGTACTTACCCTGGTAGGTAAACTGTTAAGGAAAAATATGATAGACTGAGGTACGTCTATTGACAAATACAAAAGACATTTATTTCTAAGTCAAATCCTCAAAGAAACTAGAAGGAAGAAAATAGAAGACTCAGGAGATATCACCAAATTGGCTCCCTGATTTCTATTATTACCCCCTACTTCCAAACAAGCTCTGGATAGTAAAGGTTGAGTTAATCCTGAAAGAACAGCATAAGCAACATGATACCACTACTGGGAAAAAGACAGACTGCTCAAAGAACACAGAAGATGGTATTCCACAATCACTGTGTCAGTACTGAAGCTCACAACCAAATTAGTCTAAGAAAGGCAGAATGCCAAGCCTCCTTTCTCCTTCCACACTCCACCTTCTGTTCTTTTTCTTTGAGTTTTGAAGCTATTCATTTGAATCCCTTCTACAATTTCTTCTCTCACCCCCTTTTCTTTAATTACGTTCCCTACATTTTCCTTTTCTTCTGCCCTCTTTACCCACAAAGAATCCTGAGCCATAATACACCTCTTGAGCACAACTTTTTTTTCCTCAACTGAGATTTCTTCTGTTCCAAACAGAGATTTCCTCTCCAGCTGAATGCCAGAACTGTCATACAAGGGGTTGCCTCGTTGACTGAGTCCCACATGTAACTGGACTGGTTACCCCTGGCTGGGTGGGGCAACATGTCATAGTAGGTAAAGGCAGGTGAGATGGTGACAGCATCTTGCCATCCCAGTAGGAAAGTGGGACCAGAGTTCAGTACTTCAGGACAGTTCAGATGTCTTCTGAAACAGTAATACATCTTAGAGAACAAACTTTTGAGTACAGCCAAAACCTCTTCAGAGGCAGAATTTGCTTTATGCAACACATTTCATGCCCTAAATCTCTAGTCCCTAGCAGCAGTAATAATCTCTCTCATTTTCTCCCCACGATTTCTGTGTAATATGTTCAGAAACTGCTGCTGCCAAACACAAAATGTGCATCTCCATTGGCTTATGCAAGAACTCTCAGGAAAGTCAGAGAGTAGGCCAGAAGAATCTGAGAAGTCTGACTCCCATTCTCATAACATAGGACTTCTGAAGCTATAAAACAAACTTCATTTTCTCTGAATGGATCCTCCGTGTCATTGGGAAGGAAGGTTGAGATACTTTGAAGGTGGCAGGAAAGTGTGAAGATGAAACAGGAGAGCGTTTCCTGTACCCAACTGTACTGCCCACTCCTTTAGAATTCCCTCTTTGCTTTTCGTGGCTTTGAATTATTGGAAGAGTAGGTGGGATTTTACATACCAGTGTTACTTCACTAAGTGTTCTTGGATTGGTCTCTGTGTTGACTAAGCAAATAAGGCAGGATACAGAGAAGTATCAATAGAGATATGTGCTTGGTGTGCTCTTGTAAACAAACTCCCACTTGCATTCTTTTAATAACCGTAATGAAATACATCAAGTCACACACACACAAGACATTAAAGTACAAGGAGATCTAATGGAAGAGGAGGGGATTAACAGGAGTGGGGGAGGGTAAGGTGTGGGGATGAATATGATCATGCACATGTATGAAAGTGTTATAATGAAACCCATTTTTATATATAATTAATACATGCTAATAAAAACATTAGAAAAAATACATGCTTGGACTCCAAGCCTGTCTGTTTCTATACCTATTCATGTACTCTATGATCTAAATCAACCCTTCAAGAGATAAATTGTACTATCCAGCACCAGGAAAGGTCTTCTGTAGCACCATGAGCAGGACTGGGCTTCCCAAACAGTAGTGTCTGTGGAATCTTCTCTGTCCCCCACTCAACTCCAATGCTGTTGCTCGTGCACTCTCTTACATACCACACAACCAGTCCCAGGAGAATTAACCACTTGACTTTGTTCTCATCCTTTGCTATTCTAGGTTGTTTCTCATCTGGTTTCCATCCCACAGTTAGGCCACAGGCTCCCTGAGTGTGTTTTAATCAGTCGTTTTGATATCCTTTTCTAGCTGAGCTCGAGGGACACTGTTCACACAGAATTCAGTGTAGCAGTACACTGAGATAGGGAAAGCACCTGATTTTCATTCCAACTGGGGTTATGCAGTTGTGCTACCTTAATCTGTGGACTTGTATTTTGACCTTTGAAATGAACATTACTTCACAGAGTTGTGGTGGAGATCAGACGAATGTACGTAAAGACAGCAAAGCACCTGGCATATGGTAGTAACTAAGTCTCACCCATTTCTCCCCACACAACACGCATCTTATTCTCTGTTTCCTTTGCATGTCACATATGCTGAGTATTTTTAGAATAAATGACTCATTCCATTCCCTTTTATCTAGGACTTTGCCTAGGGTTCTTTGCCTCTTTCTCCTTCTGACCATCTGAGTAAGATTCTCGGCTATACATCCTCATTAGTACGTGCTTATCCACAGTGCACCACAGTGGCATCTTCACTGGAAGGCCACAGCCTCCAGGCACCTCTGGTTGAGAAACACTGATGAACATGCTTCCCATCAAACTGTATCCCTTTCCTTAAAGATATTGTACAACTTCACTCTCTGATGAAACCTTCCATAGGGAATCCTTCTTAGCTTATTGCTCCAAATAGGTAATATACATTTTCAGTATTTTCCTTTGATGCCAGGAAGCTCAATGCCACATTCAAGGTCTCAAACTGAGCACTATACTGAACATTATAGTCTAGGTATCTTTCCTTTAGGTTTCTTCTTCTACTTATATTTCACATAACTCTGAATTTTAACTTATTTTCCCATTATTTTATATTAAGTATTTTAGACTAAATATGTAGATAATTCAGATATAGAAAGACACATGTATACATATAATTATAGATAATAGATATTGATATGAGAGTACCAGTGGGGTTGAGTGTAGTGGATAAAATCATTGATTTGGGAATCAGACCAAATTGACTTTGAATACCTGCTCCTCTATTTTCCAGACTGGAGGATGTGAAGAGGTTGTTGAACCTACTGAGCCTTGTTTTTCTAATTTACAAAATGGTGATAATGTGTGCCCACTCCACAAAATCAATGCAAGATTAAAAAGTGATAGATCACAATGTCTGACATGATATACATGGTCAATAATTTCTAACTATAGCAGTTATTGTTAAAAAGCACTTAAACGGCCTCACCACTACCAATAATCTCTTCTTCATCCATCACTTCCAGCAATTTGTCTAGGCTGGTCTCCACCAACCAACCTTTGCCACATCTTTCTCTAGCTTCTACTTCTCTGTGTAGCAGCTTTTGGTTTTACTTTATCTTAGGTAATCTGACTTTCTCCTAGACACTATCCTTGTTTCTACTTTTGCTCCCTGCTACCCATACCTACACCACCCTTCAGCCCTGTCCTCAGTCTAGAATCTGGAACTATATAAGAACTATTATGTCTTAATTTGAATTTTAAATTCATTATTATTGTGTTTATGATATGTGTGTGTGTATACACATTGTGCCACAGCACATATGTAAAGGTCATAGGACACTCTTTGGGAGTTGGTTCTTTCTTCTGTGAGATCTGGGAATCAAAACTCGGGTTGTCAGGCCTGCACAGCACTTGCCCATAACTGTTAAGCCATCTTGCAGCTATCTCAATTAATTTAGATAGCCCACAAAGGTAAACAGGTTCATGAGTCCTTTGTGATGATATGGGAGATGTGGTAGTCTCCACAGTAGTCAACATAGTGAGCCTGAGTTGATTTCTTGCCAGAGAATGGAATATAGACCTTTCATTTCATAGCTGATTAGGGCAGAAAAATTGGGGGATTTTTAAAAATATAAACTGGAATTTTCAGGCTGGAGGGATAACCCAGTTGATAAAGTGCTTGCTGCAAACAAGCATGAGGACCTGAGATCAAATCTCCAGCACCCAAGTGAAAAAGTTTGGTGGGCTCCAAACTCACTAGAAGACCCTGTCTCAAAAATTAAGGTATAGTGGCATAGGCCTTTAAACCCTGCACTCGGGAAGCAGAGGCAGACAGATCTCTGTGAGATAGAGGCCAGTCTGGCCTACATAGTGAGGTCTGGCCTACATAGTGAGTTGCAGGCCAACTGGGGTCACAGGGAGACCCTGTCTCAAAAAGACAAAACAACAACAACAAAAAATAAGGTGGCCAGTAATGGAGGAAGATATCCAATGATGGCTTCTGGCCTCCACACACATGGGATAAATGCCCGGGAGTATGACCGTTAGGTTTTATAATAAATACATCATCAGTTTTTAAGAAACTACCAAACTACTTTTCATGGTGGCTATATCATCTTACACTCCCATCACTAAATGCATCAGAGACCCAGTTTCTCAGCATCATTTGTAGCATTTGGTGATATCATTTTTTATTTTAGTTATTCTGACAGCTTTACAGTAACATATCATCTTAATTTACATCTCCCTATGGATAACAATGATTTAACTTCTTTTTATGTGCTTATTTGCCACTGTGTATTCTCTTAGTGAAAGTCTCTTCACATTTTTTTACACATTTTCCAATTTTTCTTTCTTTTCTTTCTTTTTTCAAGCTCTTGAATTTGGTGTTGTTTTTATATATCCTATCATTTATTTATTTTTATTCCATGTGAGTGAGTGTTTTGCTTGTATGTGAATGTACTCATGTATGCAATGCCTACAGAAGCCAGAAGAGGGTGCCAGATCCCCTGGAACTGGAGTTACAGATGGTTGTTAGC